AAAGAGCATGTGTCGGCCTTCTTCATTCCTTCCCACCAGGTATTTATACAATTTGATAAGATCCCCCTGAGACTTCTCTTCTCCAGGTTACATAGCTCCCTCAGCCTCTCATGTGTCAAATGGTCCAGACCTTAATCATCTCTGTGGGTCTGCATTGGACTCACTTCAGCAAGTCCATATCTTTCTCATACAGGGGAACACGGAACTGGACCCAGCACTCCAGATGTGGTCTAGCCACTGCGGAGTAAAGAGGAAAGGTCACCACCTTTAAACTGCTGGCAATGCTCTGCCTAATGCAGACCAGGATGCTGTTGCCCTTCTTTGCCATGAAGGCACAGTGCTGGCTCATGGTCTGTTTGTTGTCCCCAGTACCTGCAGGTCCTTCTATGCAAAGTAGATGCAGGACTTTGCATGTCCCTTTGTTGAAACTTGATGAGATTCTCTTCAGCCCAATTCTTCAGCCTGACCAGGTCCCTCTGGATCATGTGTGTATCTTCAATTCCAAATGCCTCAAAACAAGAACCTCAAATTTGTGATCTAAAGTATGAAGGACTGCATCTTAGCCCTCTAGGAAATGGAGACAGAACGCCTGCTAATTTTAGTAGGACTCAAGTTTACCTTCAAATCTCCTGAATACTCTGACAGGAAACATGTAGACAAGCTAAAGGAAAACAGTAACTGAAACAGTAACTTTAAATTACTTCATCCGGTATTAAGGATTATTCAATATATGCTCAGAAAGGTTTTTAACAGTAATTACAGATTTCAAGATGGATTGTATACTGATAGATTTACAAAGTAGAAAACTGGTCTGATAACATCTGATAACAGAATTTTTGAGCTCTGGAAAAGTGTATATAGTGTAGAGGATGACATACAGTTCCTGGATCAAGAGAAGGGAAAAGGGATGGGGAAAAGGATGGAAATTGATGTTTATATGAAGGATGAGATAGGAGAAAGGATGGGTGTGGAAGTTCATGCAAAGAACTGATCCTGAAGGAATAAAGCACATCTAGGCATCAGACATTCATAGAATACATACATCTGGATGATGAGCATTACTGCTTAGCCTAGTAGTCGCAGCCAATTACTAGTGGTATTAGCCAATAAAATAATTGTTGCATACTTATGGTGATCTTCATTTCCAGTCTTCACACACAAACAAACGTGACCAAAGGTTTGAGGGTCAGAGCAGACTTCAGGGTCTCTTTAGGAAAACAAGACCTGTTAGAAAAGGCAGAATTAATTCTCAATATCCCAGACAGGACATTAACACATTCAGATAGAAATCTGAAAAAAATGGAAAATTATGAAATTCAGGAGTGCAAGCATTAATTGAATGCAACACCCCAACTACTATCCTATTTTCAGGCAGGAACAAATTCAAAGATTCTTTTGTTTCAACAAGTGAAGTGATCCTCCTCAACAGGTCTAAAAAGACGTGAAGCTGTCCTCTTTGCCTCAGCATGCAAAAAGACTGAAGTTTTAACGAAGACTTCATCTAGACTGCCTTTTTAGAAGGCATGCCTATACCAAAAGCCTCTAGCTGCAGCATTTCCTTTTCAAACACCCACAGCAAGCTACATGCACATGTTCAAGGCCTCAAGGAAATAATAATGATTTCATGACAATATCACAAATGATAAAGCTACATTAGACTAGAATGAACAGTGTAAAAACCAAAACCCAACAAAACAGAAAAAGCCATAGTTGGATGTTAGCTTGTCCAAGTAGATCAGGGTATAAAGTTAAAACTGTAGCTCAAGTTTCAATGCACCCAAGAAGCTAACTGTTGGGAGGCTCCCAGACCGCGACTGCAACAGAAGTGTACTTCGGAATGAAATTATCAGTATCAGCAATTCATGAACAATGGAGCAGTAACCTCCTTGCAACAGAGCTTACCAAGAACACCTCTCATCTGTGTCCCCCTCACCCCACAAGGCTCCTAGAGAATATCAAGGTGGCTTCCAGAGTCTCGGTCCCAGTTTCACAGCACCCTAGGCTCAAGTTCCCAGAGGTGAGCACTAGTTTCTCCCAGTGGAACGAGCTCTCACATTTGCTATTTCTTATGGCAAAAGTTTAGCTGTCGTTGCCAGGCTAAAATAAGGAAACTGACTCAACCAAGCCTTCTGCTGTCTGACAGAACACTTACATGTAGCAACATATGAACAGGGGTTGCAGAGAGAAAGCCAGGAGCAGGTTATTCATAACTTCATTAATTATGGAGAATACTAACAGTTAAGAACAGAGTTCCAGGGCCCTTCAGGGTACTTCCATGGCTCTCTGGGGTACTTCCACATTTTCCCTTTCAGAGTTGGTAGCTTTTCTGGAATTTATTTGTAGCTTGATGAGGAAAGATGGTAACTGTTCTCACATTGAAACTCCAGTTTTCTCAGTATGTTCTATATACTTATCGAGGTTATAATTAAAATGGAAGGCATGAAGTCTTACACAGCTGTCCAATTCCCAAATATGAAAAACAATTTTCTTAATGCTTCTCTCTTTCCCTAGTACAGTTACAGTTGCACAAGTTCTCTCCCTTGTAATTACCCAAGACTGATTAGGAAAAATATGTTTCAGATTTCCCATTACTTTGTGGCATATGAAAAAAATGGTGGTAACTGATCTGACTAGAGGAGGAACAGTACTTACATACAGCTTACATTCTCAAACACATCTATTCTCTAGGGAAATATGAAATGATTTGAGAAAAAATTACTCCCTGACAAAACAATACCTAAATCATGTGAGACAAAAACCCATCATGTAGATCACATATCTGGAATAAAACAGGATCTCAGACTCGTTTCCTAAAATCATTAAAAATATTTCAGTATAGAAGAATCTGTGCTGCCTAAAACACTCCTTAACATCTACAGACCAGGAGGGAAAGATACAGATTCAGTACAGAAACGAACTATTCTTAATAACATCTTAGAATTTGTATGTCTTGCCTATTTAAATATACTTCTGTATGGAATATTTTAGTATTAAAAAATACCTTAGCATATCCATAGCATAATCTGAAGTAATACCAGAATAGATATATTAACATTGTGCTTTACCATAAAATTATGTTAATCCTCAGGATAAAGTATTACCTTGTCTCATCTTCTAGATTTGACTGCGCCTGTACTAATGATTTTCAAAACAATTTATGAAATCAGAGTTAAAAAAAAACCCCAAAATAACGGTTTCCCAGTCAATACAGCTAGCAGAGGTAGAAAAAAAAAAAAAAAAAAAAAAAAAAAAGTACTGTTTGCAACTGCCTTCACTGCAACCACTTATCATGAGCATCATGGTATAAAATAGGTATGCATTTTAGAAAGTTTCATTTCCCTCAGCCTTTAAAGATGTTAACGTTTTTTTTTTAAGTTATGCAGCTTATTTGTGTAGCAAGTCCATGAGAAGATGAAATTCTGACAAGTGCAGGGTCTGCTTTCAGCCACACAAGGACTATACCTGAAACCCCCTTAACAGAACTTACCCTTTAAGAAGTATTCTTAAAATTACAAATTCATATATTTTGTTGTGGTTTGTTTTGACAAAAGAGATTGCTGAATAATCTTGAGTCTTGCTATACATGCAGCAGTATCCACTCTGAACACTAGTGTTATGACTGAACAGACTTCTGTTCTCATTCAACTTTTATGGACCAACATAAAGAAACCCTTACTTTCTCTTATCACAGTGAACACTTCTACATGTCATGTCTGCATTAACACTATTTTATTCTTCCTAAAAAAACTTGTATTATCCTATCAAACCTTTGTAGTTCAATTTCTGAAGCACTTGACATTACCTGTGGCTCTTAGGGCTCAGTAAACATGAATCCCCAGTATGTTCCTGTTGATGACATTAATACATGCTGACAAAAAAGTCAGATTTTTGTGGATTAAAGAGCATTGCAAACTCTGATAGTGTTGATGCTCAAAAGCAACATGCATCATCAGTAAATGAACTTCGCATTTAATAACCTTCCCCTTTAAAAGCAGCTCTTAAAAAACTGTGTCCACATAAACAAGCTTTGTACAGGCTCGCTAAATACATACAGTGCTATTATTGCTCAGAAAGGTAGCTGATTAAAAATGTAGCTTCTGAAAGCTTCTGAGTAACTCCAAGCCCCCAGAACACTGAAAAAGAGCTGTTTCAAGTTTCCACCAGTGTGCCAAAACAGGTATTACCATTGAATCAGAGACTTAGGCAACAGCAGATCGGTGTGAAAGATGAGAATTTCTTAATAGCATTATCTACTATTTCTATTCATTTACACCAGTTATCCTCTGGTGTAAATGAGTATGCAAGTGAGCCAGGCACAGGTGCCTTGGTAGCACAAAGGGAATTTCAGTTTTACATGCAAAAAATGCTGTCCTACAGATCTGGAAATCATGCAAGCTATCCTGTTTTCAATCTATACAGAACCTCATGCATCTAGAAAGAGCTGCCATTCTACAACAAAAGGTGCTTTACATCATCATTTTTAATTCTTTCATTATCTGTAACAGTAATAATTCAATCCCTGCCACATGAATCCCAATGTGATATGATCTACATATGAATATAAACCTGGTGGTTATGTGCTGAAGAGGCTTTCAAACAGCTATAGTAAATTTTTTTTTAATCTTATTTCTTACCTCCACAGATTTTCTGTCAGTTTTGGGGTATTCTATAATTTCATACATGTTTAACAAAATCTCCACTTTTTTTTTAAGCATTGAGAAATCAACTTAAAAAACAATGTTTGCTTTTAAATAAACAGTTGTGGATTTTAGCATTTAGGCATTAAGACTGAAAATCCTGAACTTGCACTTAAGGTAGTCAATGCAAGGTGAATAGTAAAACAGTAAGATACAGGAAAGTCTGAGTTCATTACCTGCTGACTCACTTCAACTTCTCTTCAACAGACTGGGTTCTTTTCAGATAATCAGGTTGTTACAGCACTCAAAGAAAGTTATAAATAAGCTCATGATAAAAGTTTCAAGAAAATATATTTATTCAATTTTAGTGGAAAACATAATTAATATAACAATGTCTTACACACTTCTTTACAAGATATTTTTACGTTCAAACATTACACTTCTTTTACAAATTTCAACTAGTATTTCAAATTTTAGAAGACCACATTCACTGAAAATGGCAAGAACTTTTAGTTTTTAAAAAATACATACATAAGAATAAGAGTGCAAATATTTAATTTCTTAGGGATAGTGCTAAGTATTCAAGTCCCCTAGAAAACTGCAAGATACATATTAGATCAGCAATATTGCAAGCATCCAATTAGTATGCACAATTATTAAGGGAACATTACAGATTGCAATTTCTCATGATACAATGTCGACTTGTCTCTCAAATAACACTGAAAGAGACTTTTCCAAATTCCTGTAATTGTGACTACACGAGGTTTTTATAAACCCCACACTCCAGTCCTCAGCTGAAGCAAAACACTGAGTTCAAGCAAGTTTAGCTTGAACCTCCTCAAAGCAAGACAAATACCAGGCAAGTACAATTCCCATTCTGGCATGTTTACACAGGTCTTTGGAGTGCAGCTGATACTTTCCCAGTGGAAGCAGATGGAATCTCATTGGAATTTTTATTTTCATGAACAGGAATTGGGACAGCAATCCCTGAAATTCTCTATGATGCCTGTAGCTGTGTTTTGACAGATATCAGGTTTTGTTAATTTTCTGTGTGCCATCTATTCAAACCAGTTTTCTTTCAGTAAAAAGTGTACAGTGTCGTCAAATCCATTTTGGTACAACAATTCCATTTTCTCCTGGTTTGGTGGGAACAAAGCTTGATTAAGTCTTACTAGGTTGGCCAGAGAGAGCTGCAACAGAGTGAGAAACTATGAATTAGTTTATTAAAGCAACTTACCTAGACTTGACGGTGTTGCTATCTGTTCTGTCATCTGTTTCATGTAACATATGTGAAACCAAAAGACCAGCATGGCTATGTCTACACCAGAAAAGTAACCATGTCCAGGTACGCTGCTGAGCGCCAAGACAAACTGGCACAAACCGTCTGCATAACGCTGTTAAACTCACAGCCTCCAAGACAGACTGTCTGCCTGTTAAACTGCCCAAAGTTTCTGAAACATTTTAACTTTGGAAACATTCCCGGACCTGTCTGGCAAAGTGGCAGCTGGCACATGCTAAACTTGTGCAAGGAAATATTTTGACAGCTTACTAGTGCAAACAACCACATTCTTGGGAACATTCCCAGGCAATGTTTAACTTATGTGTATAAATGTAGCTTGTATTACCAACAAAATAAGAACTACTCAGCATCTCAAGTGGTCACTTTGATGGTTTAAAAAGATTTCAGAACTCTGTTCTTGAATAGAGACATTATTGTTTACAACAAAATTAAAAATATAATTAGTTACTAATGTTCCGAACACTTCACATGATTAATACTTTAGCTGCATTATTATACAGAACTTTGCAAAACAATATCAAAATCATCATTATTTGAAATAAGCAATTATTCAAATTCTGACACTAATAGAGGAGTTTCAGAGACAGAAAACTGTTCAAGTTCCAATATACGTAAATGAAGATATATAACTCTTGATTTTATGCAGATTACAATATTTCTAAAAAAAAAAGTATTCTTACTGTACATTTTTACAGCTCTAAAAGCTAAAGGTGCTTTAAATGGAATAGATTAAAATATTGCCTAAAATACTGCATAAGTCTGCACTTAAGAAGCAGCAACGTAACTTTGCAATTAATTTTCTATCTAATCACCAGCTTTTTCCTCCTCTAGAAACACTAGATATTAAATACAAATCACAACAAGAAATACACAGTAAGTAATTGCATATTTTTTCAGTATATATTAAATCAAGTATCTCATACTTCATGATCATTTACGAAGCACTATCATGTTTAAATTCTCTATGGGAAACATTATAAAGATTCAGAAATTAGTCCAAATTAGGGTGACGTTACACAACACTAATTGTATTAAAATTAAGAAAACATTAATAACTACCTAAAAGAAACTTTTAAAAAGTACCAATTATTGTCACTATTTTTTCTTTCTAATGCAGTTTTGTTGACAGGTTTACCACTATTCAGTATTGTCTTTCATCATGTCAAAGGAAGCAATACTGTGGTTAAAGTCTGTGAGACAAAGCTTGCAAAACCAAAAATGTCAGTGATGAAAAGGACACCATAAAAATCAGTCTTAGCTTATATTTCAATACACAGAAATGTTTCTGTAACTTGTAACAAACTAACTTCTGGAAAAGCACTGTGGTCACAAATGCTCACAAGCTCTCTTGAGCAATGAGGTGACAAGTCACTGTATACCATTTCAATTGTATGACTTAAACTTGTGTTTTAAATTCAGTTAGAACAGCTGATTTCAGTAAGTATGAAGGGATGTTCTGGAGTTTCCCTCTCCTGAAGTTTTTGTTTACTTTTTTTTCTGTGAACACTCTTCTTACCCAAATACAGATGATACTTAAAGAAAGTCTAGATTATTTACACTTAATAGGCTGTGATAATTTGCTTGATTTTGTACTACATCAATGCTTTCCAACCTTTCTTCTTTATTTTACATTTTCCTTCCATTGTGTTTAAGAGAAAGTTTACCCTCCATTTGCAAAACAGAAAATGCCAAAACATTACTTAAACTGATATATAAGCACAAAATAGATACTTAAAAATAAGCATAACCTTAACTGCACAACATTTTCTTCTTCTGAACTTATTTTATAAACAAGCAACTTACCATTATATCTTGTTTTGCAAATTTAACGTAAAGATCCACACGTCCTTTGTCTTGTGGACAGATATCTAATCGACCGCTGAAAGGAGAAATCGTCACTGTTCTTCCAACAGGCAAGATAGGAAGGCCATTAGTAAGGCCACCATCAACCCACTTCTATTGGAAAACAGAAATATTTTCAAAATAACCTTAGTACAGCATGATCATAACTGAATATTTAATTCTTCCTGTCCCTGCCTCCTCCACCCCACCCTCAAGAAAAGTCACAAGTTTCCTTCTCAAAATAACTACAACTAAGCTCGAGTATCAGACATAAAAATCAAGGAACTGACAATGTACAGAGTGTTTAATCAATAAGCATTTGATATAATGTGTAAATATAGTACACACATATTTACCAAGCTACTGGTGAGGCTTGTAAATCTAATAATAAAATGCCCCATACAGAATTTTTCTCAATACATACATGAAAAGAATGTTAATATTACAGGTGAACCATACCAGATAATGTATACTCCTCTAAAACATTACTTGCGTTGAAACTAGGAGCTTGACAATCTGACTGCACAAGCTAAACCAAACATGACGTCTCTCTATTTTTTCCAGAGCTTCCAGTTTTCTTACATACACAACCCAAGACAGCAATAGCTGGAAAGTGGAGGGGAAAGGTGGGAGGGAGCTGAAAAACTACGGCACCTAAGAGGGAACATACATCAAGTCTGCTGCAAGTCTTGAGTATAGGAAAGAATACGGAAGAAAAACAAAAGAAACCAATTAATTTCTTGCAGAGCCCCACATATTTCTTGGCTCTAAAGGCAGTCTAGGTGAACGAGACTCATTTTTACAGGCACCTTAGCCAAATTCTATTCCAGTATAAGCAGGGACAGCTGTCACATCTCTTGCCAATATATTTTATACATTCATATTTCTTCCTGTGTTTACATGCATAAGCCAAAACTCAGCATCAGTGTACTGGCTAGATGCATTCACTGACATCATACATGAGGTCTGGTGATCAGACACCTCTCACCAAACTTTATACATCTAGAGTCAGTTAGTCATGCTACACTTCCTTTGTAATCACCGAACAGAAAACACTTCTATCACATGATTCTCCTTACCCTAAAGTAGGTATTTACATCTTATTTGAGTTGTGCTGTAAAAGTGCTTTCTTCTTTGCTAATTATAATTCTCAATTGTCATTCTCAATGCTTAGGACTGAGATTGTTTTGCCTTAGAAAATGAGACCAAAAATATTAAAATTCCAAACCCATTTAAAGGTATCTTTCTGATTTCTTCAATTCCTTTACATTACTGCTGTGATAACTGTGAGCAAAGCTGCAACATATGTTAAAACTTCTAACATCAATGCTATGCTTTTTTTGTGTATGTCTATAAATAGTCATTTATTATTGATTTCTATGCAGTGTTCCTTGGAGTACTAAGTAGCTTTTCATTGTGTTTCCTACAGTGAAAAGAACTGCAGAGTCCCTGTCTAAGCCACGTCAAAGACACTGTAACAGATGACATTGTTAATGTCTTTCACAAGTCTAGCTTAGGATTTTACCACTTAAAAGTTCTCTCACTTTAAAAATTCTGATTATTTAGGTTTTTCCCCTCTCCTCTATGTAAGTTCAATCTTTATTTGAAAATCAAAACATTTACCAAGGCAATGGCAATACTGTTTATTAAGCACTATCTTTGGTAGATTCTAATACTCCTGGCCAAAGTGCCCTGTGTCATTGAATTTTCTTTCAAGCATTTCGAAAAAAACGCTTCTCAGTCAAAAATATTTTAGCTCCACAGTCCCTCTTACCTAGGTAAAAAAAAACCCAAAACATTTACATGTTCCAAATAAAGAGATGTAATGTCCCAGCTTCTTTTAATCTATTTCTTGAAACATGCTTCTTAGATGATGAGACAATTACCTGGTAACTTCTGAACCAGTTTCTCTTTTGGAAGTATGGTGCAAAGACAAAGTTCTGATATAATATGCAATGAAAACCAAACCAGACAATGAAATTGAAGATGTGGGCTGAACCAAACATAATCAACCCATTTACCAGTAGATGATTTTTACAAAGCTGCTCTGTAAGAGAACTACAGTGACACAAAGTCATCAGATACAGTCAACGCAATCATCTGCAGATCTTTATCTGGCTTAACGATTAACCTTGCCAGAGATTCAGAGGACACCAAACCAACTCAAAGAAAGATAATTTCACATGGAGCAAGTTTGCCCTGATGTTACTGGAAATCTAGTCCAAGGGCACCTTATCCCCAACCCAGGTATAAACCAGTCCAATCTGATTAAGGCCATTAACAGACTATAAATTCTCAGATGTTATTTTAGATTCCTTTTTCCTTCAGATTATTTTTAGGCTCATCAAACCAGAAGAAAGCATACTATGAACAGACTGATGTTGTATTGATGCTGCCATGCAGTTTAGCTTATTCACTTCAAAAGTCTAGCCTCCAATCATGTATATTACAGGTATGCAAGCCAGTGTGAGCCAAATATTTCCCAAAAATTATTTTTCCTAAAAAGAAAACTAAAGTGTAATGCTGCAAACAGTTTACCCTAGGGTTCACTCTCTATAGGCAGTATGGACAGGCTAGCAACAGGTTTAGCTATTTTCTGATACTATTCCAACAAAAGTACGCCATACTTCCTTACATATCATGCACCATTTACCTCAGATAACATACTGAAACATGTTTTAAAAACACTCCCAGATGACCTGGTGATATATATGCAGGTGACATATGTAGCCCAGAGAAGATCCAAATTAACTGTTCTGAAGCACAGGTAAGGCCACTAGACTTGAGCAACTAGCAAGGAGTAAGCTTGATTCCATGATGCCATGGACCACATGGCCTAAGGAATTTACTCCCTGGAACTAGAATAAATGCAGACAGACAAAACATTGGTCTGTTACAGTAAAGCTTTCAGGAAACTTTAAATACAATGCTAATATGATAGGTGGCCTGGAAGAGTCAAATCAATATCCAATCCATCTTACCAACTTCAGTGCTTATCATGTCTGGATCATGGGGTTACATGCCATGTATCTGGCTCTCCAATGTATGCTTTAGGGCTCCTATTATCCACATATCCTCATTACCCACTATTCCAAAACAAGGAAATACTATTGAAAGAGAGATCCTACAGTTTTTGTTCTTAATGTTTTGGACTAAAGAACAGAAGTCACACACATTTACAGGCAACAGTTTTCTTAAAAAAAAAAAATAATCCCCGAACCACAGATGTACTTTTTACAGAGTATGAGAAAAATTCAGTGCAGATATGCAGAATTAATCATTCCAACAAATAACATTAAATGAAAGCAACCCCATTCCCAGAAACTGCATTTTCTGAATCTCAAGGAGAATAGTAAGAAACTTTGGGGTTAAGGAGCTTTCAATTAAAGGAAGAACCAGCTTGTGCAAAACATTCACCGATTTTACTTTTGAATGTAAAAACTTAGGCAGGAATTTAAAAAGTCCACTAGAAAGAGGTGTTTCGGTAAATACTACAATACCTATACACATTGTAATAGCAGTGTTCATCCAATCGAATGGTTTTTAAATAAATTTGGACAAAACTCTGAGCCAACCTTTCAATTTCTTAATTGAAAGAACATGGCAAGAAATTTAATGACACTTCCTTCCCTTGAACTAATGGCAGAATGAAGCTAAAATATCCATATATGTCCTTTGAGCTGCATAAACAACGTATAAAGACTCCAATCAACAAAATTTCAAGACACCAGGGAAGTGGCAAGCAGTCTCCATTTAACTCAGTCAGGCAATACTGATTTAAAGCCTTCAAACATTTTAACTGGTATGTATCACTGTACACATAATTCTAAAGCTGACAAGCTTTCTGACATAACAAACTTCAACTCCCTCTTGCTAGAGATAAATGCAAATGGTTTTGTGGTTTGTTTTTTTTTGTCGGGGTGGCTGTGAGGATTATAGATATTCTAAAGGCAGCATTTGGACCCATGTGAGGAAATAAAGGAAAAAGTATCATGTAGTATTTCTCAGTAAGAAAGAAATTTTCATGCTTCCAGTAATTATGACCAGACTATACAGTCAAAATTATTCCTATATTGCTTATATATTTATGTAAGAAAGATAAAAGTAGTTCTTGAAGCTAAATGAAATACAGGCAACTCTGAAAAGGTTTTATTCTATCAGTGTACACCCCTGAAAATTTCGTAGCTGTGTGCTATGGGGGGGGAAAATAAAAAAAATTATCCTTTAATGCTTGTCCAGAGGTAAGAGATTTGAAGGTACCTACATGCCAGTAGCATGTAATTCTGTACAGAACATGAGAACAACACATACGTAAACCCACATTGGATGCTGGTGGAGTACCTATCTGCCAAGGTCTCCCTTACTCCTTCCATTAAACCGAAAAGCAGAATGGTGGTCCTTTAAATTGCAAAAACCAGTTTAGAGTTGGTAAACAGCTTGTCGTGAGAAGCATCTTTACTAGAAGCTGCTTCTCATGGCAAGCGTTAGACATTATCTTTAGGAAACAGCTTTATGCTACAGAGATCATTTCAGTCTCAGCAGCCACAATTTTTGAAATACGTGAAAAAAAATCATGTCATCTTTCACAACGTTAATCTACAGTATCAACAGAAAAAAGAACTATTTGACAAAACATAGTACTGCAGTTGCCTTCCCTTAGGATAAAATAATTACATCATAAATGAAGAATGCTCTTACACACACACACACACACACAAAAATAATTGTTAACTATTGAAAAATTACCTCTCCTTTATATTCTACTGGCTTAATTCCTGCATATACTGGTATAAAACTACTTGCTAGCAGGACCTAGAGAAAAGAAAGCAGAAAGAATAGAGAACAAAATTGAAGAAAATGCAACAAATCCTGAACCAATACAAATTTTTATACATATTTATATGAAGTAATATACTAGTAATTAAGTGCTCCCACCTGTCCAAACTAAATACAAGTGTTCTGTGTCCAGCTCCCTCACAAACATACAAATCATGCCTCTCTTCCCCCTCATGTCTAGCTTAAGAACTGCAAGGCTAGGAACACTAGTACATGATGATTGTCTTCACATATGTAAAGTCTATTTCAGAAGTGGGAGATTACCTGCCTCTACACATCCACTGGGCATGGTAAAAGAAAAAAACTGTAGCAACATATATTCAGTTCAGCCATTATGAAAAACTTCAGAACAGTAAGACTTGCTACACATTGAAACTAATTGCATATGGGAGCTGAAAGATTTCTGGCAGAGGGTACAGAAGTTTTGCTGTTATAAATGCACTGTTTGCTTGGCAGTATCTTCATCTATGCCTTGGGATACAGCAGATCATGTCCAGGCAAAGTACAGTTAAATAACCTAACCCACCTTACCCTTCATGCTACCATGGCAGCCACCTGCGTTCAGACTGCAGCCTAAATGATACGTGCATAACTGAAGGCATGCACAAAAACATGTTATTACAAGATGCACTGAAAGAACAGACAATGTGAATGTATTCCAGTAAGCAATTATTTAGAATGTTATTATTCCAACCCATTCTACTGCTAGTATATGGGACAAAAGAACAGAAATGGTTAAGTCATTGAAAGAACTACTGAAAAACTAATAAAATATATGTATTTACAAGGTCATTTTGATGCTTTTAATTGTCTTCGGGTTAGAAGATTGCACTAAAAAAACCCAACCACAAGTATACAGAGTATTAATCTCCATGCTTGTCACTGCTGGCTACTATAGCTAGAAATAACAGTGCATAATTTGAGACAGACTTTTTGCATAATTATCTTTGCATGATTAATTCCTATAAATTTTGAGAACTGATTTACCATGTAGAATATGACAGGGTCAAGATTTTAAAAAATTATACTTTGAAGGCAAGCTTCCAATGTATACTTTTAGATTTTGTTAACAAATGTGATTTTTTTCTTTAAGTGTTAATTATAAAGAAGCTCTTATTTATTCTAAGCATCCACAAGGACAAGGAAAGAAGGATTTTCTAATTCTATGTCCTCCCTTATTTTGCAATATCTTATGATGTGCTCTACTAAGATATGATCAATTACCAGAAAGAACATTTGCCTTACATGCATCTGAGTTACTCCTACCATTTCATATCAGCTTAGGTACACAATCCTGATCCAAATTTTAAAAAGTGGCATTCAAAAGAAGAGATGGGCAGTAAAACATATGCTTTCCAGCAACAGTTAAAATACAATTTATATATGGTACTTAACATTACAATATTTCTATTCCACAGAAGGACCTGTAAAATGTGTTGGATTTTACTTTTCCTGAACTTCCTTTCCTTTACTTTCTTTTGTGATGAAAAATAATATAAATGGTATCAGTGAAGTAAGAGGCCTAAAAACATTCAAAATTTGTTACAAAATTTGGAGATTCTCTATTTCACTCTCATCTACTGTAACCATTAGTTACCCTGTTACTTTCTAAACACACTTTGCCTACAAGGTAGTATTTTAAAAACAGATGAAGGAAACACACACAAAATAAATTTTAGCAAAATTTGTGAAACTGTAGGATCAAATTCTGCTTCCATTGCTTATGTTATAGCTGTAGCATCACTGCTAATATAAGCGATTACTTGAGCAAAACAGGGATTTCTTGTACAGCTAATAACATACTCCTAAGCCTTGAAGAAACTCAAGCATTTTTATTTAAAGCAGCAATACTAAACTTCGTTACCTTAATGAGGTCCTCCCTGGAGGCAAAATTTGAAACCAAGTGATTTTCCCCATTTTTGGTGTTAGTGACTGACACATAGAGCCGGTTCTCAGCTATCTCATGAGCATTAGAAGGAAGAATAGACTCTATGCCTTCCCTAGAGTAAAAAAAATGCTAAATATTATTCACCGTCATTATTTTAAAAGCTTGCAAATATGTGAGGAGTGAAAGAAACGAGTGAGATTCTTACGGTATAGAAAAAAACATGCACACTCTCCATTTTTATTTAGAGAGCTTCACACAGAAATGATCTTACAGATGCATTTAGATACCTAAGCGTTTTCATAAAATCATAACCAGGCGTTATAGCACCGAAGTCCAATTTTCTAACTTCCTCTGCAAATCCATAGGCAAACTGCTTACACTTCTGGAAATTAAAAAAAATTCACTGTTAAGGATGTTTTAGTTATGAGATGTATGTTCAACTGTGGTAACTAAAACATACTAGAAGCTAAAGCTTTAATCAAGAGAGAGGTGTAAGATCAAACTGAAGTATTTTCTCATATGTGCTTGGTTTCTAACAAGATATGTGTAACCAAACACCGATCCTTTTACAAGAAATAATTTGTAAAAAAACAAGTTCCCCAATAAAAAAAACCAACCAACCACAGAAAAAACATCAAACCCCTACAAGAATACCACTTACTCAAGGTAAGTTAAAAGCCACTTTTCTATATATTACACTGCTAAATAATGTTTTCCAATCCATTAGAAGAAGCCATTACAAGAATGATCATCTGTATTTCAAGTGTAAAGTCACCTTTTATTTTAAAGACTACTTCAGTACTAAAACCAAACACAAGTACCTTAAGATGCCTATAAGCATTAAAAAATTACGATATTACAATTTCTCCTCACTAATGCAAAAATGCTAGTAACAAATACACATATTTAATGAATACAATACTATGGAAGTATTTAATGAATGGAATACTATGATGGATGACACAGGAAGAAAAGACACTGTTGAAAAGCAGGCAACAGATGCAATTGCACAGAGAACCTGTGACGCTAGCTGAAATGCCTAGAGTTAACGATTGCAGAAAAACAGCTTGAAGTGTGAGCCATAAGAACTCCAAAAGGAGAGTAAAGAAATCAGTAATATTTACTTTTTAGCAAAAAGATTCTGAAACAACTAATTAAGATTCTGAATGCTTAAGACTCCCTAGTCAGTATTTATATTCCTTTTTTATCCTTACATGCAGATTTCTCTAATCATTTTAGGGACTCGGGAAAAAGCTAAATCCACTCTTATGCAACTTTCTGAAATTGGTGCTCAATAATTATATCAATATTCATCTATATAAACAAATGTTGACAGAGTAGAACATATGTCTGTAGATAGTATGGGGTTCCTGGCTTATTAGCTTCCTGAAGGAAGCTAGTCACTAGTTGCTAGTTAACAAAAACAATTGATGTGATTAGGAAGAGAAAAAAGAAAAAAAAAAAGGAAAAAAAGAGAAGTGAATGTGCCCTACTGAGGAGGGTACAGGATTCAGTGGAAAGAAAACCAGGAAAGAGTTGGGGAGAGCATTAGTATGAGATCAGGAGCAAGAAGACTGAAGCAGTTTAACTTCCTCACATCATCTGTACAACAGAGCACTCACCTAAGCAAAAGATAGAAATGTAGTTCTTGGACCCACTTTATATGGCTTTTGAATCAATGTATCAAAAATGTTAAGAGGTTCATACCTCTTAAAGCAACAATCAGTGTAAAGATTTGTGGTAATTAATTTCACATAGGTTAGATTCGCACCTTTACTCTACGAAGTACTTGCCATTGCCAGTTCCAAGCCGATTCAAAAACATAAAACTAGTTATATGCATCAAGTCTTGAAATTATTCTATATTAAACAGTTAGGCTTCTGTAGTCAATCAGCTGGAAAGAGGGACATTCAGACACTTCTTTCTAAATGGAAAAGAAACCCACAAAGCCCTACATAGAAGAACCTCAGAACTATGATCTTTATATCTAAGATGCTTTAATAATGTGATGACGAGCTAAGAGTAACAGGGAGCTGGATAAATCCAAAATTAGGTTAGTGACAGAAAACTACCTTCCATATTGCAAGTACTAAGAACAGACCATAACCTAGAATCTTAATTCTTGCTGCCAAAAGGGACAACTTCTTACAGCTATGAATTGTTTATAATTTTAGTGCTAGAAGCTTTAAACAATCCATCTAAATTTTAAACAGTGACTGAGTACACATTTAGAAATTGTAACTACTTGACTAAGTTAAGCAAGATTGGTATTAAAAATGATCAAATGATTTGAAATAAATAGGTACTTACCTATAACTCTATAAGCCTCCCTAGAATTGTCAAGTCCCTTGCCTTTTCAACAGTGACAAAGATCCAAGATACAACAGAAGGACATTTGCAAACTGTCATACTAGAACAGCAACAATCAAAACCACAAATTCTCAGTGTTACATTCTGTCCAAGATAAGGTTGTATGCGAGCTTTCAGAGGAGATGGAGAAAGTCCTAATTATATCTTGCCTAACAGTCATCTCTGGGGGTAGGACAAAGAAATTATGTAAAAGTTATATTTGTGTATACAAAATATTTCAAGTTAGAAATGTTATAGAGATAATAATACAGTTATCCTGATACGAAAGTTCACTCTATTCAGTACACAACACTGCCTTTACTAAATTCTGTAAGAATTAGGAATAATTATTCCCCCCAAAAAACAGCTCTCAATTTTCCATTTCAACAACATAACATAATGACTAAAAAGTAAATTAAAAAAACCCCAAACAACCAAAAAGTTCATGAAACAGTGTTCATTTTGTAATAAACTGACATATTTTCAAGGAAAAAAAAAAAATCCATCAGAGTCAATGTAATATAGGTTTAGTTTCCCCAAACAAAAAAAACCCCAAAACTACTCTAATATTTTTACTTACAAAGATCTTTGCAAACTGGACCAGGCTGGGAACAAATGCTCATACCCAGAGCCTACAATAAGCAGAAAAACTTCCTTGGGCTAAGAAAAGGCTAGCTCCTCTGTTCACCACAGAGGAAATTGAAGTCAGAGGTATGCATTATACCAGGCAAGATTGAAACTGAGCTACTAGTCAGAGGCTGCAGAAAAGGACAAACACCTGAGCACCCTACAACAGTAAGGTACTCTTCACAACAGAATGGAACTTGACTAATACCACATCATATAAAGAATGCACCTGGGGGGAGGAGGGGCATGGAAAGAAGCCAGGGAAGAACTTACTGCTGAAAGCAACAGAAGTACAGTGAACTCCACAAGCTAAGTTCATATCCCAGCAGAAACAAACAGACAGAAAGATCAGTAGCAAAGTGTGGTATTGGCTGGGACTATTATTTGAATTAAATGCAGTGAAAGTTTTAATGAACAAGGCCTGGAGAAAGCTACCTGATGCTCACTGGACTGAAAACTATAACTGTACTTAGAACAAAAATCTAACATCCTCTTTTTCCCGCACAACAATGCTGTTTATTATACTTCGAAATATTAATGAAATATTAACATTTTGGCAAGGTCTAGTCCTCTCCATATATTAAAACAAAGTCACTACAGTCACTTCAGAAGGGCAAAGCAGCCTTTACCTATGGGGAAAAACAAACAAACAAACCTGAAGAAAAGCTAATGCTCTCCCACAGAACCTGTAATAGAGTAGTCTTTGAATGTAACTTTGCTGTCTCTACATGACACCATGGTGAGAAAAGAATGGCATCTCTGAAGAAAAATAATGTATGTATGCACCATGTCAGAACAGAATGCTGTGAGAGTTAATCCCTCCTGGCTCGCAGTGGGGCTACTGCTGTTACATCCTGAACTGTACTGACTCTAAAGGAAGTACGCAAGCCACCTTTTCTAATAGAGCACAGACAGCAAGGAAAACATTTGAGCCAGTGTGTGGTGTTCTTCAGCTTTATGAAGATAGACTCCATTTACCATTTTCATCTCCTTACGCAAAAGGATGAAAGGATGGTGTAATGCATTTGCTTAACAAAGCCTACCTCTAGCCAAGGAAACAAGTATTAGCTTGGTAATGAACAGTGATTAAGTGCATATACACTTTGGTATATTAAAGTATCACTGGTTGCATGAAACTCAACATTCACAGATGTTAAATAAATACTTACATAGCTTAAAATATAAAGTTCATATGACAGATTTTTTTTTTAATAAAGTAGTATTTGCTTTATAACCATTTTTGCCCATGAGTCACAAATTTTGTTAATGAAAATATATACGAGTCCTGTTCCTTCACAAGCAAGAAGAAAAAGAACCAAAATATTTTTCTAAAATAAAGTGGTAGATGATTATATCAAAAATATCCTTGCAAATGATCATGTCCTATACCTACGAGTTTATTAATTTACCTCTATATTTTCTGGTACAGCTAATAAGACAGTGGCAGCCAGTGATCCCGCAGAAGCTCCCGCAAAAGCTTTCACAACTTTCAGTAACTTCTTACCATGACTGTAAAAAGCAGCTGCTGCCCCCAAGTGGTAAATACCCAGAAAACCACAGGCTGCAAATGACAGATTTATATGTTTCATTTTTGCTGTGGAAATAAAAGTTTCACAGTTAGAAAAAGGATCAGTTAATTTTATCTTATACTATACATCTTTTGGCACAGAACACATAATAAACTATATCTACATAACAAAAAGCAGTTTATTTAAGAACAGTAAAAACTTTTGATTACCAAATACATCAAACAAGTAGCAGTTAGTTTAACATCTCCAAAATTGAAAACAACTCTAAAATACTCCTTAGCACAAATCCCTTTTTCAATCAATAAATATATCCATATACAACTTAACTGCACATTTTCATCTAATTTGTCAAAGACATACAAACAGAAAGTAGCTATCCAAAAGTGATAAAAGAATGCTGTTGGAACAGTTATCCACCTAAAGTAAAATCAAATTAATTACACAGCTGCTGGCTACTGTGTCATCATACTCCCCTTACACACACAGAGTCTTGAACCCAATATAATTCTCTAAGAAAGGAATTTTTTTTCCTTCACCTTTGGAACTCATTTGTTTACTAGTATTATTAGTAATCATTAATAGACACATTCCTATTTAATTTCTTATTTAGAAAAGAAAAACACACAACATATTGTTGTCACTATTAAAATAAGGAGGAAATAAAAAAAATCAAAGTAAAATACAAAGCACAAAATTCATGAAAACACACACACACACTGAAGGTATCCAGGACAGATTTTAACACTAACAAAAATCACAAACGGGAAGCATAAACGGAGATTGTTAGGGGTGGTTTATTAAAAACCAAAACAAAACATAAGGCTGTGCATTTTACTAGCTCTTCTGTTTCTGAAAATAACTACAATTATGAGAATAAGATATTGCACAGATTATACTGTATAGCTATACAAGATACTGTAAAGATCATTTTAGTATTGAATTAAAAATAAATTCCTAGTATATTTAGGTATGTCTCAATATGAATGGGACTAAAAAAAAAAATCAGTACCCTCAGGAATATACTTGATATTTCTGGTTCTTAATGACATAGCTGATGAGATGTTCCTTTTGGAAATAATCTGATGAAGAGAGGCAAACATGTACAGCAACAGATTTTGGTTTAAATTGCCTCTTCAGCTTGGAAATGGGAATAACGTGAAAGATAAGAAACAGCTTTCAAAACCACTAGATAAGTAAACTCAACTGCTTTACCCATAACATGATTAAAATCAGACCATGAATGGGTCTAACCAGGTTTAATATTTTCTTTAAAAAAGAAAACAGAAAGCAAGCACATCTTATAATGCCAGGGCATACTGTTTGGTCCATCAGCCATTCTGCTAAAATACTACACTATCATAAATTAATCAACTGTGATTCACCCCCTTTACATGGGAAATGCTTGCATATCCACTTGTAAGTGGGAATAACTGTAACATACCTAACATATTTGCATAGAAAGGGTGTGAGGTTGGCTCTTGCTGTGTCAGTGAGAAAAAGGCATTTGCAGTGAAGCAAATGATAAATCTTGTTACTACTTTTTAAAAGAAAGGATCTTTTAAAGATAAATCATTGTACTGCATAGAAGATAAAAAAGTTTACTCAAAATTCTACTGGAAAAGAACAAACACAACTCTACTTTGAAGATTATTTTTTTTTTTTGTAGAGTGCATGAAAATTAAACAAACTTCCAAGTAAGATGCCATGATGGCTTCTTTTCAGGTAGTGAAACTCATGAGTTTGACCAAATGCTGCAGGTGTTTCCATGCCTTCTACAAATCACTGAGCAAAGATGCATTTGCATCACAGGACACACCGACAGCAGGGTGAAGTTGGTTAAAGCAACTGCATTATTAACTAGGAAGAAATGCAAGCATGGAAGAATTAACTCCCATTTTTGTCCAAAAGAGATTTCAGGCTCAAGACACTATTAATGCGAAACATTACATGACATAATGACTACATTTATGTAGTTGATTGGTCAGAAAATAAACAAGCAAAATAAGGGTGCACAAATCCCAAGAATTAAGTCTAAGGGACCTAAGAAATGTAACTCAGAAACACAAGTGTAAAACAATAAGGTTCTGTAAATAAAAGCAAGCATATGTATGCTTATATGCATGTATATACCCATCTTCTAAACATTCTGCAAAGTTCATCAACAAAGTGTTCTAAAAGGTATATCACTCCCTGCTGGACAATATTTAGATGTTCAGAAAAAGATGAAAACTAAAAAGAATATCTAAAGCATAGTTACAGCAAGAAAATTTAGTTTTTTTAAAAAGAAAAAATCCTTACAAATACAAAAAACAATCACACTGCGTTGTACAAAGAACTGTCTGGTACATTTCCTCTAAATCAAGAAGAGAAAAGGAGGTTATGCAAACTGAAGAGATGATTTGAATCTCAGATCAAAAACTGCTGAAAATGTACTGACTAAAGTCAGATGTCTGTGCCTTCTCTTAAAAGACTTCATGGGTAAATTTTATTTTCTTCCATGAGCTTTAGTCCTATCTAATTATCAAATACTGTGAGTAACCACTGCTCTCCTGAGTATCTGGATACATGACATTCACTCTTTGATGAGAGTTAATTTTGTAACACTTAGGTCCCATACTTCCCTCCCTCCTTCTTCATTCCCCTACCCAAGAGACAGAAAGAGATTAATGAATGAGCATTCACATCAGCTTCTTGAATGACAGAAGGATTCTGTGAGAGATGAACATGGCAAAAAGAGAAAAGAGCACTACGACTGCAAGTAAAGGAATACTGTTAAAGAATGCTACCAGTCTCATACTCAAGAGTTGAATAATTTCAGGTCCAAAAAGATTAAATGAATGCAACCCAAAAAGCAGTTAAGGACTTGATAGACTGGACTTGTATGGCATGAAATACAGCACAGTTTTACAGATTCCCCAAGAGAACTTCAAAACAAAAGTAGCAACAGCATGGGTGTGTTATCAAGCACTACATTTTTATTAATTAGGATCAGTTCCCAGGTCTATATTGCGTATATATCACAAATACATTAAATTTAAAAATACTTTAGTAGAAACATTAACTAGCAGATGACATTCATGTTCAGATGACAGATCTAATGGTTACATCAAGCTGCGCAACTGAGAAATGGGGTTTGCCCAAAGATGTAACAACCCCACAAGTGGGTAAATAATGAGGGGAAAAAAAAAATAAAATCACTGAATCATAGAATAATTCAGGAGGTATCTTGCCCAACTTTTTCTGTTCAAAACAGGCTCAGCTATCAGATCAAATCAGGTTGAGCAGGGCTTTATCCAGTTGTTAATTTAAAAATCATGCAATGTTTAGCTCCTAAGTGATAACTAGTATCTGCTGCTGGGTGGAACAATCAGGTATTTGTTCATTTGTTCAGAATGTTAAGATCAGTAGAGTATTGCAAATAATCAGCATTATAGAGAAGAAATAACAGAACATTAACATCTGCATTCAGAACAACGAATCTACCTGCAAGGAGGTTCTGTACATTGAACTGAAGGCCTCTTACAACAAATCTGTAACAAAGCACTTAATCTACAAAGATGCTACAGATGAATAAAAATCATGGCTCTATAATGAACCATCTGCTTGACAGATGCAATTAAGCAATGTTGTTTCACCTTGCAAAGGAATCTCTGAGTAAGAGGAAAAGATAAGAAAGCATTCATTAGAGGAATGTCCTGTAAAATCAGAAAAGCAAGAAAAAGGAATCCAAGATACTCACTTTTATAAGAATATAAACTTTCCCATTTCTTTTGATTCTTGCAAATATGCCATGGCAACACTTGATTTGCAATTTAGAATGGTGTATTTCAGAGACAGTGTGATTCAAATATCTTTTGCTTTGATGATCTGGTAGATCACTGCTCTTTTGATCAAAAAGAATAGTAGGGTTATAACAACTCCCAAGAGAACAAACAGAGAAATTTAATTAAGTCTACAGTATAACTATTCCCTGCCAATTTCTTACAGAGTTCCAGAAATAGAAGCACAGTGACATCTGGACACAGAACATTTTTTCAGCTGCTTGAACAAACAGCAGAAATCTTGCTGTCTTAAAAATGGTATGAAACACCTGTTCCACAAGAGTTCAGAACAAACATTCCTAGAGGGTTTAATGTGCATTCTGACCATAAAGATATTATCCACTCAAAGTTATCATATTGGCATACCTTAAGAAAAAATATCAATGAACCTTAAAAAGATGCAGAAGTACATCAGCTGGACAGTGCACACACTATATTGATCTGATGTAAACAGGGCAAAGCAAATGCCTTTGACACTGCTTTTTAAAAATGTTGTCAACTTACATGGTAGGCAAATTTCAAAACATAAAGATTTGAAGTGGTTAAAGGGATAGGTATGCTTCTGTTGTCTAAAAGAAAAACCAGATGGATAAGAAAAGTACAAGAAGAAACTAGAAGGACACTGGGGCTGTTCAATCTCACAACTCTACAGGTACTGCAGGAGCATTCAAGAATAAATACAGACCTATGAGTTCTATTTAAAAGATTCTCACATCAGAAAAAAAAAAAATATCACTGGTGACTAAAAATATACAGG